TTGCATGTCAATTAAACTTCAAAAAAAGAAAAAGAAAAAAGAAAGAGTGGGGGGAAGCCAAGGAAACTGAGACCCAGAGGGTCTTGCCCAGGGTCACACAACTGGGAAGTGGATGAGCTAGGATGCAAGCCTACGCCAAAATGGCTTCAGACCCCATATTTACCCCCACTGCTCATCTTCCCAGGTGGGTCCTGTTGGTCAGTGAGGTCACTGCTCCCCCGCTTGCAGGCTGCCAGGACTGCACATGTCTAACGTCTATTGTGGCCTTGTGGCCATTACAAAGGAATGGTCATGCCAGTGCTGGGAGCACCAGAGAAAAGGTAGTTTGGGGAGCAAGAGAATTATGACATCAAAAAGCAAATAATGTTAAAAAGGCAAAAAAAGGCCCTGTAATTAAATTGCAGCTCAAAAGGAAGGGCAGGCAGGGATCCTGCAGGCAGATGCAGAACAGGAGGGGACACAGAGACCAAATTAGGACATGGCATGCATGGCTAGGTGGGGCACTCAGGGACCGGGTAGGGAGGGACATGCCCGTCTCAGGTAATCTGGGCTGTGCGGATGCCCTCTATGCCCTTCTCAGGCAGCTCAATAACATGGACACGAACTGACCCTTTGGGGATCTTGTTCTAGGTTAGGACTCCCTTTCTCAACCACAACTGCCTGGGAGGGAAAAGCAGGGAGTCCTCAGTGACTGGAGCTAGGAAAGATGGTCAGGGGAAGGCAGTTGATGACTTCAGGCTCTGGATATTGAATGTGGGCAGTGAACAGAGGCTTGGGTGGGGGTGTGGAGGTTTAAGTAGGAGGTGTGAGGGGTATAGTCTCCTCTCAGTCATCTTTGAAAAGTCAGATTCCCTCTTCCCCCCATGCCATCTGATTAGCAACCAGAAGGATTCTGTTATAATCTGAGTCTGAGTTCGTTGTCCCTCCTCTGCTCTAAAGTCTCCAGTGGTTTCCACCTCATTCAGAGTTTCAGCCAGAGTGCACTTAAAGTGGCCCCAAGGCCCTGACAAATGCATAAAGATGACTAATGCTATGTACTATGGGGGGTGTGGGGGGTGTCCAAGCCTGACCAGGGCTTTGGGGCTGGTCAGGGAGAGCTTCCCCACTCCCTGCCTAGAATCTCTCCTTGCACTCACTGTCTCTTTGCCAGATTAATTCCTCTCAGATCCTCAAGCATTGTTAGGGTGGGACTCAGACACTGGTGTCTGACCACCATGCTCTCCTGCCTCCCCTGGGGTCAGAGGCCCTGTCAGCCCCCTTGGTTCCCAAACTGCTATTTCAATCAGGCCCAGGTGAATGTGTCTGTTCCAACTCAACCCAAAGGGCTTGCTATTATGAAAACCACGCCACCTTCATGATACAAAAAGAAAGAAGCAGGAAAAAATCTCCTAGCAGTGGCCCTGCCATGTTCCTGGCTGGGCCATTGCACACACTCTTTAGAAAAGTTTCACCTCTGGTTTAGCATAACAAAACTTTTAATTTAGATGTTTTCATCTCTCTCTCCAAGTAAAAATAAGTTTAAAATAATGACTGTAATAAATGAAGGTAATTAATTGTAGTTTGTTCCTTTACTGTCTAGTCAGCTTAATTTTACCTTTTCAACTAATAATGAGAAAATAATTTTTGTGCTCGGAGGGTTAATGATATGTAACTGCGAGAACTGCTAATTGCATGTTGCAATCCATCCATCAACAACCCCATCTGTGCGACTTGATTATGTTTGCTAAATTATTGCTTTGAATTATCTTTCATAAAGCAACTTTTGTAATTAGCGGGGCTTTCGTCTTGCTCTTTTCTCTGCGAGCAAGGATATTCAAACTTTGGCCATTTCAAGCTGTCTCCATTAAGCCACCTTCTCTGGCTGTCTTTGTTTCCTGAGCAGGGGGAATCAAGGCTGGCCTTTAAGCAATCAAGGCGGAAAGGAAAAGCTTCCTTGATTCACAGCAGGGCAAATTCACTTCCTCTCCGCCTCCCTCCCACCAGCACACACACATAGACTAGAAGAAAAAAAAAAAAGAAAGAAAAAAGACTGCACTCACATATATAGAATGAAAAGATAAAGAGGATACCCAGATTCTGTATACACCACGGCCAGCAGAGTGAAATTAAGGGATGAACTTGAACATGTTATATTTCAACAAGAGGCTGGCAGTGGGGAAGAAGGAATGACGGTATGATATTCGGCCCTGGCGTTTTATGGGCTAGTTTATGTGACTAGGGAAGGTGTTTGCCTTGGGGAATATTCCTGGGAGGTGATTAATGCCCACTGGGGAATCCTCTGCTCTAAACCCAGAGCCTGGTGGATCGTGAGAGGGAAGAGGCATAAAGGATGAACCCTCATTAAAAAAATTAAAATGAAAATCAAATTTGGATTATGAACGGCCTGTGTGTGTATATAGTTTGTTTTGGATGAAGAAGATGCTTTTTATTAACACCTTTCTTTGGCGGTCTCTCCTGAGGCCTGGGGAGGGACATGGCTGCCGCAATGGATTAGTCAATAAATCATGAGGAAAGCAGGGGTTTCGGGAATAAAACTCCAGGGAAACGTAGTCTTTTGGGTACATTAAAGGGACAATGAAAAGCCATCTTAAGAAAATTAATGAATTTCTTTGAAGATCCCTAGCTATTACAACAGTGTCTATTCAGTTTTGCCTCTCCTTTTGGCCCCACTAAGACTTTGTCTCCCCCAACAATTATTGAGTACCAACTGTGTGCCAGACACCTGTCAACCACTTTTACTTAGTTCTTTAAATCCTTACTGTTAGCCACATTTGCCAAAGAAGGAAAGCTGTAGCCCAGAGAGGTTAAGAAACTCCCCCAGGCCACACAGTTAGTGTAAATAGCAGGGCTGAGATGCAAGCCAGTCCTATTGGCATGTGCTTCCCACCCACCCTGCACTTGGATCTTCTCTGGATCACAAACCAAACCTGTTTAACTCTTTCTCCTATTGAAAAGATGACATAAGTCATGCCTATTTCCTACCGAGACAGAAAGGTTCCCTCTTTTGGATAAAAAGCCTTGAGCACCTAAGAAAGAGGCAGATTCCAGCCCTGGTATAATGAAGGTTAAATACTAGTAAACCTATAATGGAGGTCACTGATAATAGGAATAATAAAACAACCAAGACTTCTACTACTCAAGGAAATGTTCGAAGCACTCCATGGGTATTAACTTTGTTCTTCCTCAATCACAACCTTATGAAGTAGGTATAATTATTACCTAATTTTTCAGATTTTGAAACAGAGGCACAGAGAGATCAAGTAAGTTGCACAAATCAAACAGCTAGTAACTGGCAGAGGCAGGATTCAAACCCAGGTTAACTCTGGATCTGTGCTCTTCACTCCCTGGCAGCTCTCTATGTGGTAGCCATTACATCAAAACCTTCCCCTGCATTATATCTCAGTCATTCTCAAAACAACATGAAAAAAATCTATCATATCTTTATCCCCAAAACAGACAGGGAAACTGAGGCTCTAAGTGGCTCAGAGAAGCTCCAACCCAAGCAACGGAACAGCCGAAAAAGTGGTGCTCTATATACAAAGCTCAATGCCTGTCTTCAGGCTGAGCAGAGGGATCAGCTGCCTGAGAGGCTTGTGTACTGAGTGCCCCTCATGGAACCAGGAGTTGGCAGATGGGGACCTCTTTCTTAAAAAACACAAAGCCACGACAACACATTCCCAACATTATTAGTCTTCTTTCTATTTTTGTTGCTGTTGTTTTTTTCCCCTTCCAGCTCAGGCACCTCACACCCAAATGAATCAATACTGAATAGCCCTATAAATAAATAAGCACATCAGTCAACTCAGTAATAAAATGAAGGGATGAAAAATATGGAAATCAGAGACATTTGTGTAAATCCAGTTATTGTTTACTTTAATATTGCCTTATGAGCTTATGCAGGTCCAAAGAGACAGATTTAAAGTAATGTGGCACTTGGCGGATGACAGACTTAACACGCATCTCTGGCCCTAGCTGGCTGGATAAAGCATCGGTCTGGGGACTGAAGGGTCCCAGGTTCGATTCCAGTCAAGGGCATATGCCTGGGCTGCGGGCTCGATCCCCAGTGTGGGGCATGCAGGAGGCAGCCAATCAATGATTCTCTCTCATCATTGATGTTTCTATCTCTTTCTCCCTCTCCCTTCCTCTCTGAAATCAATAAAAAATATATTAAAATATTAAACACACACACACACACACACACACACACACACACGCACGCATCTCTGCAGGCGAGCTTGGAGAAAGGCCAATCCCTCCAGGGTCCTGCTTGAATTCAGGGAAGACTGAGAAGAGCACGAGAAGATGGAACATGTGAGAAATGGCCTCCCCTGCCTCGGTGTAATTCCATTATTTTCCTAGCCTACCTCCTGGGCCAGCCAGACAAGTGGACATTTTCAGAATCCTGGTCACAAAGTTAAGCTAAGAGGAGAAATGGGGGAGGTCCAGCCCCATCCCAGGCCTCCAGGAAGGCAAGAGGAACTGGCTGAGGATGCTTAGCTGCGGCCAAAGGAACTAGGGCCTGATGGGTGGGCAGGAAAGAATGTGAACAATGCTGACTTAATTCTCAGAGGGTGGGATGGTAGAGAGGATTTCAGGACAGGCTGGTAAGTATTTGGACTTATCTGCAAGACTGCCTTAGAGAATCAAAGCAGAGCAGAGTGCCAGGGGAGAGCAAAGGTGACTGCGTACAAACCTCCAAAAATGAGAAACCAGCCTGGAAGGTGAGGTGGTTTGTTCAAGGTCACGGATATTACATGTAGCAGAGCCCGTGTAAGGCTGGGCAACATCTACGAAGAGGGGGATTTCTTGGCATTGACACTGGAATCACATCAAACTCAACAAAGAACCCACTCTTATCACAACACCACTGACTGATCTAGAGGGAATGGGGTAGAGAAGTTCTTCCAAAACTTCCAGAGGCTGCTGGCCTCCTCTGGCAACTCCAGGTGGGACAGGGTAGGGAACTGGGTTTGGGATATGCCATGGGCCTTGGGTCTTACCTCAGCTTGGAAGCTTTTTAATACAGGAGCCACCATCTCTCTGATTTCCTGAAAAAGAGATCAGTGAAGAGTTCACCACAGTGCCAGGTGGGACCCCATGGCCCCTGAATGCAGCTCACTGTTGTCCCATACCTCAGCACCTGCACTCAATGGAATTTTGTAAGAGTTCCTCATATATACACCTATACACACACACACACACACACACACACACACACACACACACGGGGACACATCAAATCCAGATCAAGTTTCTTCCCTGCAGGACTTTTTGGAGCCTTTAATATAATCCACATTGGGAATTTCTGGAAGAGGGACAGAGGAAGTAGCATTTCCCAAATGGATTTGATCATGGAATACTCTTTAATGCAAAGTACCTGTGCAACTGGGGGTCCATCATGAAATATTCTTTGGAATGGGGACTGGACAGGTAACCCCAATTCTCCACACCCAGGGTCATGTCACCAAAGTCCCTTCATGAAAATCTCCCATCCTTCAGGGGCTGTCTGCTTCAGGTCACCATCTCTGCTTCCCCACCCAGCATTTTAGCAACATCTGTATTTGTCTCTCCTTCCTCACCAGAATGTGCAGTTTCTGGCAGTTTGGTTGGGTCACCGTTCACAGTGTCCAGCTCACAGAAAGAGCTCTATAAAGGTCTGATGACCTCTATGGCACTAGGCTGTCTTCAGAAGGGAGCCTCCTTTCTGGACCCTAATTTCCTGCTTTTCACAAGTAACCTTGAGGTTCCAGCCCCACGGGCTTCCCTGGTGGACTCCCATGAGTTCTCCCCAGCATGCAAGAGAGAGGCTTTTAAAACCAAGTGTCCCAAGATCCCAACCCTAAATGCTCCAGTTTCCTCTGAGACCCACTAGTGACTCACCTGACCACTGTCAGCCATGGCCCACAAGAAACCCAGATGGAAAGAGGAATTGGGGTTGCTTGAGAGCATGGGGAGGGAGGGAAGGGGCAGCAGAGAGAAGGAAAGAAAGATGGGCAGAAGAATTCCTATATTTAGGTAAAGGATAAGGTTGTATTGCTTCTGCCCTGGAAAAAATCCCACTTCTGGGTCCTGGGTGGCCCTCCTCACTGACTGATGTGTCCCCTAGGGCTTCTCAGAGCTGCTGGTACACAGCTGTATGTTGGTGATCTGCAGAAGGGACACAGGAAGTGAACTGAACCTATGGATCACAAGAAATCACAGGCACACAGGCTGTGCAACGGAGAAGGAAATGTAGGTCAAAGGCTGTGAACTGAAGCATCCTCAGAGGCTGGGGGAAGTGTACACGTGGACGGCAGGTTGGGTGGTTCCATGGCAAACCTCTGGAGGGAACACAAGTCTAATGGGGTGGAAGCTGCTCAGCTCTGTGTGGTGACTGTCACGTGGGCATGGAGCCTCCGTGTGGCCAGATCTAGTCTCAAAGATGCTGGAAATCCAGGTTTTTGGTTAAAATTTCCTTATATGCTAAACATTGAAACCTTACTGTAAAATGTAAAAGACCTTATAAACCAAATAAAACAGCTGGGCAGGAAAATTCCAGTTCAGGTTCAGGAAATGCCAGTGCCCGAAGGGGACTGGAGGAACCAACTCTCCAGTCCCCTGAATTTACAGAAAGGGAGACTGAGGCCCCAAGTGGGCTGGCTCCCTCAAGGGCCTGCAGGACTGAGTGGTAGGCTGGAATCTGATCAGGTCAACAGATTCCCCAAAGAGGTTCTTTTCACAACCCCACACTCAAGTGAGTTTAGGGGTTTCCAGTCTGAGGCTCCAAGGGAAGGTGGCTGGCAGGACTTTGGGCCAATGTCCTGCCTGCTTAACCCTTGGGGGAAATGAGCAAAGGCACCAGTGGGACTTGAGCTGGGCACCAGCCAGATGATGTTCTTAAAGCCTTGTCATGACTTTCTCCATTAGGAGAAACTAGTTCCAAAAATGAAAATTTTCAAAGGCATGACTATAATAGAAATGGAAACTTATTCCTCCTAATTACATAATTGCATAACTATGCAGTCTTAAAATTATGTAAGCCAAACTTGAGGCTTAAAACCTGGCCTGGATTTCCCTCCTCACCTGGGCCTGGGGAAGGGAGATGAGATGGAAGGCTGTGAAGATCTGGGGCCCTTTCGTTTCTGCTTCCCAGAGACTGGAGAGCCAGAGGCAAGGCTTCTGGGACTCCTTCTAAGGCAGAAAAAAATTAGCTTAAAGACCAAGATATTCTTTGTTCTAAGAAGGAAGGGAGAGTGGCTCAGTATTACCATTCTTAGCTCCTGGAGTCAAACCAAGAAAGAAAGAGATGGGCAGAAGAATACCTATGCCAAGGATCTGATTTGGCCTTTGTGAAGCCACGACATGGGAAACAGATCTGAAGTTCCTGGCCCGTCTCTAAGTGCACCTTCCTTCAGCTCTCAAATCTAAGATTCTTTCCCAACTTGCTCCATGGTCAAGTTCTAGCTAGATCCTACTTCCCTTTCTTGCCTTAAAGAACCAAAGATATTCATGACTTGTGTGAGGAGGATCTCACAGCTAAGAGACTGCCCCCTCTGCCCAGGTGGCAACAGGGCTCTTGGAAGTTTCCACCATGGGAATAGGATTTGTGGTGCTCATTTTTGGTAGAGCAGAATGAACATCTCCAGGTCTGATACCTCCAGAATGCTGGATCCTGCTCCATCCTCCTCCAAGATCTAGGCCACCTGAGCAGGCTTGGAGAGACAGCTCAACTAAGCTCCACTGACCAGAGAAGCACAATTGGGTTTGGGGGTGGTCGGAGTCTCTGTTTCCCATAATGGCTCTGAGGTGCCACACAACTACCAACATTATATGGAGTCAGAAGGCTTTATTTTTCCTATTTGTGTTTATCATTAAAAAACACACACACAAAAAACCAACAACCGAGAAGCAACAGGGGGCCTAATAGAAGAGGGAAAGAAATTCACACATTTGCCCCTGTAAAGAATGGAAGCAAGTCCTTTCAAGTCTCTTCTCCTAGGGGGCCCTAACATTGCCTGGGGCTGGTCATTACCTGGACCACCCTCATGGCAGCTGGGAAAGACAAAGCTGGTAGCTGGAGCTGTAAGGGAGGGGTGGAGGGGGAAAATGAGGCATGTATATAGGCAGTTTCAGAGATGGAGGGAAGGACAGGAGGGGTGGCTGTAGCTGTCATCTCTTAAACGCCAATGGAAAAGTAAAATAAAATCAAGAACTCTAGACAAATTGCTTTTACCATCAAGGCCAAGCATCTGACTTAGATATGAATGTGGAGAGAAAATGGATGTTTTATAGAGCCCTCAAAAACAATGACTTCAGTGAAGCGTCCTGCCCTTACTTTAGACAGCAGCGCTGAGCACCACTATATCGAGAAACCCCAAAAGGCTGTAATTTTTCTTTGGGGCTAATTAGCTTCTTTTCTTGTTAGTCACTTATGTCTACAGTTTTCAAAATATAGTTTGAACAAAGAAAAATATGCATTCCTACTGAGTTAATTCTATAACAGCAAATATACTGTACCTCAGGTACATTTTTCTTAAATTCCCGGCGGAGTTCAATTAAATGTTTATGAGAATGTTCACTCTCCTCCTGCCGTGCAGACAGCTCAGAAGCGACGGAATTAAGCTCCTTCTGGAACAATAAAAAAAAGAGAGAGAGAAAAGAAAAAGATTTTTCCCCTCCTTTTCCTTTTTAATTATCATACAAAACAGCATTATGAACAAGTTTTCTTAACTTATAAAGTTGAGAAAAGACAGGATATTGACTCCTGGCACAAATGAATAATTTACAAAACTGGGGATGCAATAAAAAAATCCAGGACAGCTTTTCTTTGCTGGTTGGAAGTTGGGCCGGATCAATAATCTCCTATAAAGTTTTTTTTTTCATCTCTCCCTCACCCCTCTGCCCCACCTCTTAAATTTCCAAACGAGTGATGGCATAAGCTTGTCAGTAACTGTAGAAAACATCTCCAAACCGTGTCAAAATAGTAAAGTGCGGCATATTGTATGGGCATATTATAGTGTAAGAAAGTGCTGTCGACAGCTTTCATATATCAGAGGTGGGAACTGTTCCAACTATGACTTACTTACACTTAAGGGTTCATAAATACTCCTTTTAAGATATAGATGGCTTTTTAATTTCAGTAGATTTTGGAAAAATGAAGGTGCCAATAAGAAGCAAGCTGACCTTTTGTGTATCCTGCAGTAAGTCATTTAAGGTTCACTTCAAGTGTAAGAAATATTTCATCAAAGACTCCTGGATTCAGAAGAAATGGATTAGAAGGAGCCTTGCTTATGTGCAATGAAGGCAGCAGGCCAGGTTTTCACAAGACATACCATCGAGGGGAAAAAAGAGAGTGAAAGATGGAGTGGTGGATGCTCCAGCTAACACACGTAACAGATAATGTCTGCTGGTTGTACATGTATATTTGATCACCCCTCTGTAGCTTTCTTCACTTTAACAGTGGCAGTTTCACAAGGGGTGTACAATTCACCACGAGTTGTCATGAATTTCATTTGCATAATTCAAGAAACACTCTGTTTATGTGGTCTGCTGCGTTCTTGTACCATCCCAAGATGGTTTTTTCTTCTGGACCATAACTCGAGGAGCATTTCTGTATCACCCGATTATTTCTGCAGCAATCAAGCCCTATAATTTCCTAAATCCGGTGATGCAATAAATTTCTGCAATCAGATTTATTAAAAACACACACGCAAATGCGAGAGTGTATTTCTAGGGTGAACTCTTATGATGAGGCCCAGCACCGTGTTGAAAGACCCCATTTGTCAAATCTAATACGCATTCATCTTGCACACACAATGAAACACTTTTACCATTAGATAATGAAATAAAAGTACTATTAACCCGCTGCAAATCCTTTTCCCTCTAAGAGACGAAATGCATGGTAATTGTCTTATATCATGTCTGAGAGTCGGTAAATCTGCTCAATAGCAGTTCACCATAGCGCCATAAACCTCATATCCATCAGAGGCTGGAAAGCCCACCCCAAGCCCAGGATAAGTGACTCTGCCTATGGAGCCTTTGGGAGAAATCAGGGAGGGAATTTCTACTTTTTTTTTTAGAAATGTATAACCTCTTTGGAGAATCATGAGACTAGAAGGGAAGAGGTCTAAGTATAAAGTTAGGATTTAAAAAATAGTGACATGGGAATAGGATGTGTGGTGCTCTCCAAGGTGCTGAAATAAATTCTGTGCCAGAGTAGTGGGTATACCAACTTAAAGGTGCCCCCACCCCCCGGTTAGGGTGCAAAAGCCCCATGGAATTTTGAGCCAGATGAGGAATAAGGTGTCATAGGAGAGAGAAACAGAAACAGTTTCTGACAGTCTGTCAAGGTGAAAGAAGAAAAAAAATGAAAATTTTTGGTTTATCATCATTTAAAAATAATCAGTCACCAATAAAGAAATTATAATCGATCACAACCCTCAAACCAAATGATTGGGAAGATATCTGTATTTGCAGCAATAGGGCTAATAAAAAGTAGACAAACACCAACCAGGTGGTACAGAACCTCACTTGGTAGGAAAGAAGAAACTGGTGTCATGGTCAATTGAGTTCTGGCAGAGTGCTCACAGTTGTTCTTAGTTTTTCTCGTCTATTCTGAAGACAAAGATGTGATTTTCACACTGCTATTGGACTATCAGAATTGGGGCTTGAGTTAACATCACCAAGTTTTGGATTATTATGTATCTGACACTATGTTCTTATATCTGGGACACTGTCCCTCTCAGCACCACAGCAACCAATGTTCCTGGTGGGGGGATGGACTTGAATTCCTCATTTAAAACATCCAATCCAGGATCTTAAAGGAAATCTCAGAGCAGGATAAGTCCAACTGCCTGATGTGACTACACTGGCTCCCTTCACCCTAACCTCCCTGACTGCTGGTGGGTGCTGTGTCCACAATTCAGACAGAGCAGAGGCGAGATCAGGCCGGGAAATATCAGCAGGGCCCCAGTCCTGGCCCCACGCAAGCCCAGATCTTAGTGTCTTTCCTGCTCAGCCCTAGAGGAGCAGACAGTATGACTGATGTCCATATTCTTCTCAACTTTGCCTAAATGTGCTCCGTCCTTCAACCCTAAATTCTTGTTTCTATGGTAAGCTCACTACCAACAACAATAATGATCATAACTACCATTTATTGAGTGCTTACATGTACCAGGCACCATAGTAAGCTCCTGTATACATTATCTCATGTAACAAACACATTAATGTGTCTGTTAGGTGATACAAGCAGGGACTAATAAATAAATCAGTCTATTCTAATAATTCAAGTGTGAATTATCTCCTTGGTGGATTATAAAGGCAAATCTATAATGGCCTGGTCTTTACAGGGCTTCTACTCCACTTCCCCACTAGCTGGGAGATGTTCAGGGAACTTGTTTTAAATGCTACAAATGTGAAAAGCATCAAGCACAGTACCACGTGTTCAATAAACGTTGGTTAATATTAATCTTATATTTAGATAAACAGAGCTCAGAAAACACTCCACTAGACCAGTGATTCTAACAGTTTTAGATTTCACAGGGCAGTAACAATCTCACCAAAAAAGAAAAATAAAATCATTGAGACCGACAGAATATTGCCAAGTTTTACTGTATTAAGCAAAGGCATTAAAAAGCAACCTCTCTCTTCCACCCGAAAAGATAGTATATCTGAACATCAACAAAGGCAAGTGGGCCAGTGACAGAATTGACAAGTCTTTAAAAATAAACACATTTAAAAATAATAAAGCTCACAGCACTGTATTTTGAAGACACAGAAAAAACTCTCATCCACATAAACCAGAACTGGTCTGAAGTGGAGTTTTAGAAATGAGTGTCTGAACCATGGCGCACATACACAACTAGCCTCCCCTTTGATGATCAAGCAGAATTCAGGATCTTCTCCCACCCCAGCCCCCATCCCCCACCCCCCACCCTCAGGGAGCCATGATTAACACAGCCCTAGACTTTTGGGCCAGGCCCAGGCAGGGTGGAGACTCATCTGATTAACAGGCCATCAGCAGCAGACAGACAGCCCGGAGCCCGGCGCAGACCATTCAAATAATGATCATCATAAACAGCCCATTTGCAACTAAAAAGAAATAATTTTAATGAGCTTGAAGCAGATGATAGATGCAGCTGAGGCTCCAGCCAATGTGCAGAGAGAAAGGAAGCTGGGATTGCGCTGCACCCAGGACCAGGAGCAGCTAAACAGCTGTGCTGCTAGCCCACTGTAAGTGCCCACTGCCCAGACAATACCCCTCACTCTCTAGGGTCTGCCATCATCAGGGTGCTGGGACTTAGAGTCTCAGAACGTCTGAGCAAGAAGAAACCTCTGAGTTGTCCGGGCCATCACTGTCCAAACTTCAACCACACATACCTCTCTCTCTGCATGAATTTTGCCATACTGATATTCAACATGAATTTCTATTTACTTAATATTTACGTCTTCAATCGACTCCTATTTCTTTTTGAATGAGACATGCATAACTTTAAGTTCAATTTTAAGATAGAATTTTTACATCCCTGTAACCACTGCCCAGATTAAGGTATAGAATGTTCACATTCCTAGCACCTCAGAAGGCTCCCTCATGCCCCCTTCTAGTGAGTACTGCTTAAAGGTAATTCTTATTCTATTGTCAGAATGAGAAATAATGGAAGGGCACTGAGGATGGATAACCAACTGCTCCTCCTGACATGAGTCAATCCTTTCTAAAGCCAGGTCTAGTTACTGCTAATGATCATCTCATGTCCCATCAGCGGGTGCATGCTCCACACTTTAGCAAACACTACTACAATCCAATTTTCCCACTTCAAAGATGAGGAAACAGGGACAACTTAGGCTACTGCCCCCGCCACAGAGCTGATTAAGAGGTTGGATTTCCTAAGAGGGGAGGGTGGGTTTTGGGTGGGGAAGGAAAACTGTTAGTTACCTATGGGGAGGCAAGTTAAACAATCTTAGTTCAACCAGGAAGGATTGGGAATCTCACAAGAATACTTAGTTTTGAAAGAAATTTAACAGCCAATCCCAAAATGTCAACTATGTACAAAGTTTTGAGCTAGACACTGTTCTTATAGGGGAGACACACATAAGACACAATCTGAGTTGTGCATGTTCATGTCAGTTCCCCCACTCTGCTCAGCTCTGAAGACTCACACTCAGACACATCCCCCTAATATCAACTCTGAGAAAAGGCCTTTCAAAAAAAATGCAGAAATTGTTAGGGATCAGGGTTATGGAAGTGAGGAATTCAGGTGTTTCCATGCTTTTAAGAGATTCATGAAGGAAAATAAAGTCTTCCTCATTATGTCCCTTCCCTGCTCAAAAACCACTTATGGCTCTTCACTACCCTAGGACAATTTTCACGCTTCTGATTTAGGCATCACTGGATCCCTGCTAGCCCCTCCCATTTTCTCCTTCCCAACCAGATTGAATTCCTTGTAGAGAAATCCAAATGCACCGAGGTCTCCCTTCTTCATGGCTCCACAGACTTCACCCCTCAATCCAGATGATCTCATTCTGTATTTGCAGCTGATCTTAGTCATCCTTTTGTTGTGGTTAAATGGCCCCTCTTCCAGAAAGACTTCCTAGAACCTCCCCTCTAAGCCTGGGTACTCCTTCAGGACCCT